GTCGGTACGCTCAAATTCGTAGATACCAGACGTCGGTGACGAGCGACGGAGAGTAAATTCAAGTCAGCAACAGAGATGCGACGTGCTCTATGTAGCATCAGTAAGAGGAAACAGGTTGTGTGGTCGAAGAGGGTGAGAAAAGGGGTAAGAAAGGTGCAACGACTGCGCACCGCGTTGACGTGAAATATGAGCAAACAAGGAATGACAGGCTAAAAGACCCAGAGCGCGGCTGTCGCACCAACAAAGACACGTCAGGATCTTCATAAAGTAATGTGAAGAAATTTACGAATAAACGTTCGTCACAACTTGTTCCAGTGAGAAATGTAAAAAAGGAGGTAAAAGTGGAAAAATAAAGTCACGTTTCTGAAAACGATTCATACGAGCGCTTTCAAGCAGTTTAAATAACGATGGAACAAAATTTTGTATTTGCTAAAATGCTTCGGCTTCACTATTTAGAAACTATCTGTGGCGTAATCTTGGCAGGTGCTGTTATGGAGAATGAAAACTAAACAAGTGTATCATCAGATGGGTCCCATATTAGTGAAATCTCCTGGCTAATTCACTAACCAGTGCAGTAACTATGACCATAACAGAAACACAAACCTTTGAACAGATTCAAAGTTTCAGCAGTAAACAGACACAAATGCGACAGAATGCGGATTAAATAAATGAACGATCTTTATAGAAAGAAACATGGAAGATGAACGGTAACACTGACGACTGAGATCATCAGTTCAAAATAGAAGAGTGTGAAAGAGCAAGAGGAAGAAGTTCAAAACAAAAATCATATGACTGTGATCAAGAACAGCGTATAAACTTTAACATAATTTCTGGATGCTTGTGTTGATAAAGAAATGTGTCGACGAAAATGAAAGCTAATCAATGTCTCGGTGTCTGAATGCCGTAAATTAAGAATCAGTATAACATGTTAGTGGAATAATGTACTCGGAATCGCAAACTTCAAACCTATTTAAATTATGGAGAATATCTCATTATGAACAGAAGAATGACAGTGCAATTTCTGAAAATTTTAGATATCATCAGTGAGAGCAACTTTGTTAATTGCTTTTCTTTTCAAAACTTCAAGCAATCCCATTCGGTAGGAGCATTTCAGCAGGTGAAATCGACGCGGTTCAGTAGTTTATCCGAGGCGAAGTCAACTGAAACTGAGTGTCTACAGCTAGCGAAAACTGAACAAAAACAACCTCAGAAAATGGTACCCAATATTACGAGAACGCCGTAGTTTAATCACCAGCAATAAAACAAGCGGCATAAAATGCCGTTGTAAAAACATGAGTACGATTCTGCGGAGACTATGTTCAGACCGAAGTCCGGTCGGAAAATGCGATTACTACGTTGCTGCTTAGAGTCATCCACCGAATTACAAATTTTGAGTGCTTTATTTGTACGCTCAGTCATTAATTTGAGCCCGTGACTGTAGTTACAAGAATGATGCAACTGCTTTGTGGTTATGCTAGTCCACTATACCTTTGCCGTCATACTTCGTCATTTCGTCTGCATACTGTTTCCTTTATTTATGCCAGAAAGAAAAATTCGTCGTGATTTTGTTCAAGCACTAAACGTTCAACATCAGTAGCTACTTATCGTGATACCTCACAAACGCCAATCACGCGACCGTACTGGCCATGACCACCAGTCTGTTTTCGGTGCCAGTAGTCGAACGGACAATCGGCAACGAGAGTTTCGCGAAATGCGACTTTCGGCTTTCCAAGCACAACCTCGCAGCTGTACTCAGACTTCATCCTCTGCGCGTAGATCTCCAACTGTAACTCGCCCATGCCGGACACGATCGTCTACACGAAAGCATTACAATTACAAACAAACAGACAAAGCCATGAGCCACATTGCATTGCGTTACCTCTTTTGACTCCACATTATACTCTTTCTTGAGCGTTGGATCTTCTTTGACAAACCTGCTCAGTGCCTTCAAAAAGTTGTCACTGTCCTTCAGGCTTTTAGGAGTAATCGACAATGACACAACTGGCTCTGGTACATGGATGTTCTCCTGAAACAAGCAGCGCATTCTGAATAAAAGCGAAACTTCAAAACCTGAGCGCCTGTACCAAAGCGATGTTTCCGGCGTTCAGAGAAATAAACGTGTCACCAGAAGCGCAATCCACACCAAACATCGCACAGATATCGCCTGCCAAAGCGTAATCGATATCCTACAAATGGCACAATTGCAAATCACACACAAATCCATGGTTCCATGACATGACGCTACAGTTTTTTACTGTTAATTACAGAAGTTTATCGCTTTATATTATGGCATTCGAAGTTACACATTTCCTCCATGACTAAGAATGCTGGCAATAACCCACAAATAATGACGTGACTTCGAAAATTAGGACGTGATGCAAACACCTTCTTTAGCCGCTACAGCAATCGTTCACACCGTTCACGATTTTCAAAGTGTCAGCTATACAAGACTCTTGTGAGGGCCTATGAAGATACCAACGTCCTCTCATCGTCGTTCAAAGCTATTTACATTTTGACAGAGGACATGTCCAATCAAGAAAGTCTGCAAAGTCACTGAAAATTTATCCGCAGAATACTATAGACAGCTGAAAAAACGCTTAAAAAGTTGAACATAAGTTCATACACCTGTTCCTAAAACTGAAACGTCAGACAGATGTTTCACTCACTATATTTAGTTGAAACGTCACTATTTGTTTAAAGACCGTCTAATTATTTATGAACAGACATACTGCATTTCTCATTAAAATTCTAGCTAGGTCATAATTTTTTTTGGAAACTAAACCAACATACAGATACCCACTAGTTAAAAAAGAAAAGGAGGTTACCTCCATCCTGTTTGCGTGCATTCGCACTAACCGTTGTACCCTGACCCGTTTTTTCAGACGACTGTTCAATATTTGATCACCGCGTGCCACCTTTCCCTGATAAACGCGGAAATACGTCAACTGCCCGTGCTTGCCGGCCTAAAACAATAACAGTCATAACCAGAGACCCCTAAACCACTCAGACTGTGTTCGGTAACCTCAAGTTTGAAAGCAAGACCAACAAACGGATGTCGGTCGGATCTTTCCGGGTTCAGAATAATCCGCGTTACTTCTTTGCTCCTAAAGTATAAACGAAACGTGTACAACACTCCTATGAACAAGAGGACATCACTGTCTTACTCTAATTCAAAATTCGCTTCGTTCTTGACTTCACCTGGATTTGGAAGATAGTCGACGATGCAGTCGAGAAGAGGCTGTATTCCTTTGTTCTTCAAAGCAGAACCGAGAAATACTGGAACGAAGTGGCGCTTGATAACCGTTCGTCGGATAGCAGCCTGTACTAAAATGAATAAATCACTCAGGCAGGTCAGGCGCGTGTTACTCGTCACCTTGAGAGTGGCTACCGGAGGAAGATTGTCATGGAGGTAGAAGTCCGCTAACTCTTCGTCAACGTTGCTGATACGCTCTGAAACAAGCAATTTACTGATAAACTGTCGTCACCGTACTGTAATATAGCTCATACAATTTGCAACAATTACAGCTCTTGCATAATAGTTCTAAAAAACAAGAATTTAAAATCATGAAGCTTCTAATGAAAAGGTGTTGAACTTCAAGACTTTGTATATAGCTGGAAACTACAGAATGACCTGCCCACTGTGCAAAATAAAATTATAACAGAGAAACAGGGCGATATTCAGTCGGTGCTGGGTATCTGAAGAAGTCTGAATAAAGATTCAAAATCAACATAAGTATGGAGGCAGATTACGTACCTCTGGTGATTCTCGCGAACGCCTGGCAATTTTACGAAACCACTACACATCCGTTTGATGGACTACACCAGGGCTTTTGGCTTTGTGAACCGCGTGACACTTTGACAAACTATTTCTAGCACAGCATTTTGCCCAACGGCACCCGACTGCTGTAAGAACTGCACAAAAACAATAATTCATATCGAAGTGATGCATCAGGGTTGCTCGTTGTTGCCAACACTATTTAACGCATGTAGTGAAAGAGACGTGCGTCCTTGGATGTAAGTCCAAATCGGAGGTTTCAAAATTCAAGATCAATCACAAACCAGTGATATGCTGACGATGTAGAATTGTGACATCTGCAGCAGAACTGTGACCGTTAAAAAAGATCAACATCGCGAATAAACGGTTCGATTTAAATTCAACCTGACAACGATTAAAGCGATGACCTGGTCAGAAATCACGACCTAATCAGGAACAGATTGAACGGCTTTGATCTGCAGCAAGTAAGCACCTTCTTATGCTTTGACTACACATTGGATTAAAATGGTGGTTGCAAAATAGATTCGCCAACGTCTAAAAATTACAACAACTGGTATGACAAGACCTAGAATACGGCGAAATCGCTGCATACGGAACCTCATCAAGTTGAAGCTCATTAGAAGTCAGATCCGTTCTATCGTAGCCTGCGGATATGAAAGTTCAATTTTTAAGGGAAATACGCAAGTTCACTGAAGCAATTGAGATGGGATGCTACAGGGGATTATTGAAAACTTCCTGTAGAGACTTCTAGACCAACGAGCGTATCTTAAGACAACTGCACAATCAACGTTCCCTCTTTAAAAAGATACAGAAGCAAAAACTGCGATGCTCTGGACACATCATGACAAAAAACGGTAAAGATTGGAGAAAGTAGTAATGCAGAGAGGTACTGTAGGTTCGAAACAAAGGGAAGATAGAGAAAACGCTGGACGGATGACATCACACACTGGACAAAGCTTAACATCATCAAGCCATGAAAATCGCACAAAAAATGAGAAATGAGGTGAAATTCCCCATCATGAAATCAACCTTTCGCATGAGGATAACACATGAAGTTTCTGCACAGATTTTATAAAATTATACATATACTTCAATCATTAAAACTTTAACTACGAAATGTGTTACAGAACTAATCTATTTCGTATCCAGGACTGACTACATCAAATCTCTCTTCAGCTCAGTGACTTTCAGAGCTATAGTCTAACTAAGATGGTGTGACTGCCCACCTCTGCTACATAAGAATTGCAGATAAGCAATGTAATCTTAATACTGAGTTTGTGTTTGTGAAGTGTACAGGAAAAGCTTCGGGAATAGCGAGGCTACAATTCACGGAAACAGCAAAATACAGAACAAAATTTTCAGCGAACAATACTTATTTTCCATACCAAACAATTCGTGTAACTTGTCGTTGGCATCTGACTGCAGATTTTCAGGTATCTCTGCTTCTTTCACCACATCTCTGAAACCAGTTATGTCCAACATATAAAAATTAAATATAAACATACATTTCAATACTCTTTTAACTTCTGTTCATTAGCAGGCTAAAAAAAATTCGTATGAAACTAAAATTTGTTTGTGTCTGTTTTCTGGTAACTTAATCTATTTGAAGACATGTATTAATAATGAACAAATCAGCGCACATAGAGCGAGTTGTGCAGCACCACCAAACAGGAAGACGGTGCATCCTTTTAGAGCGACCGCGCAGGTAGCTAGGACTTTCCTAAATGGCCGCGGGATTGTTTCCATAAGGATGAGGGCTTAATGGCGTTCGCCACGTCTGCCGATAACAGTAGTACCACATTATCCAGCGCTTATTCTAATAACTGTTATACAAATTCAAGAAGAGCTATTCTTCGCAGAAAAAGAGCTATTCTTATTGCGAT